CGATGGGTTTGAATGCGTGCTGGACTGAGTGCACGCGGCGAACGACATGTCTCTTGCGGGCCCCTGTCTTAGCTTCAACGGGTACTCAACCACCGCAGCGTTTTGTTTTTTTTGGATGTGTGCTGCGGACGCGACGAACGACATGCCTTCGAGTCTCTGTCCGAGTCTCAACGGTCGCCTAATATGCCACAGCGACGGTCTGCGAAGCCGGCTCTCCTCAACCTTCTCGTGGTGCAGGCCGTAATCCGCTGTAGCACGGCGGAATCGGATGAGGAAACGCAACACAAGTGTGTATCCCTTCATATTTCTTCTGTTGTCGCGTTGTCTCTTATGTGGCCGGGAGGTGTTTGATGTGATGATGTTGCTTGATCAATGGTTTTGAGTCTCTGCGAGGCTGGTCGGGGCAGATGGTTTTCTTTGTACAATAGGCACCTATCTCCTTTGCGTTCAGTGGTTGGTAGAGTTGATACTTGAAGTCGCTGGAGAATAGATAGAAAGACTGTGCAGTCACTTGTGTTTGAGATGTCGTGACGTCTGATTAAGCTTTGTGACAAGATGCATGACAGCCCCGTACTTCGTCATACAGTACCTTAAAAGTACCTTGAACCTTGAGCCTCGATCGAATAATCTGCAGTGCCGGGTGAAACTCGATTGTTAATCACGCCAAGAGCCTAACGCCACTAGGTGACTGTCACCTTGATACAAATCTTGACAACGGACGCCCATATATAGGGCCACTCCCCTTACAGTACATCATAATCTACCACTACCACCACCACCACCACCATCCTCATCACCATCATCATGGATCCGGCCGCTACAGCAGCCTTCGCAAGATGGCAGACCCAGTTGAAGACCATGACGGCTGCGATAGCAGACCTCAAGTTGCCACCCCTCTCGACGGATCATTATGGCTCAGATATCGAATTCGACGACGAGGTCAGCAGTGGCTCTGGGGACTTCTTCAGCTACAGTACCAGCGAAGAAGATGACTGGGCTAGCGATCCAAACGATGAATACGGACCCGAGTGGTTGCAAACGAAATGTGCAAGACTCAGCATGTCAGGTGACATGCAGGATCAGCTTTCAGCTCTTTTAGCCTCGGACAGTTCTGAGGAGGAACTCCAATCTACCTTGACGGATCTGATCGGTTTTGATGATTTTGATTTTATCATTGAGCTCATTTCCCATCGCAAGGAGATTACCAAACCGTCAGCCCCGGCTGTAGACAGAGATGGTATCTTCACTGGAAAGCTTCAAACGAAGCGTGAACGCGAGGAAGCTCTCAGGAAGGCAGATCTTGCGCACAAAAGTGCCCAGCTGGGTCCTGCTCTGAACAGAGATGCAACAATATACCCTCATGTATATACAACGCACGTTGCTGGCAACAAGCTCGACTCAAAGGGCCGATCGTATGGACTTCCCGTTGGCGCTGTACGGCGGGAAGAGAGATTATATGAGGAATACAGTATTCCCGCTGGGAAAGTCGGTACTATTGGCGTTGGCCGGAAGCTCGTTGAGATCTCCGAAATGGATGGCCTGTGCCGTAACACGTTCAGGGGCTATAAGGCCTTAAATCGTATGCAAAGTCTTGTGTACCCGGTGGCTTATCAGACCAGTGAGAATATGCTGATTTGTGCTCCTACTGGTGCTGTAAGTCATACAGCCACACTCCAATAACAACCTGCTAATGTTGCCAGGGTAAAACTGATGCCGCAATGCTGACCATCCTGCACGAAATTGGCCAGAACATCAGGCCAAATCCTGCAGAGAACCCCGATACTACTAACTTTGCTGTCAATCTCAAGGACTTCAAGATTGTCTATGTTGCGCCTATGAAGGCTCTCGCTGCAGAAATCACAGCAAAGCTTGGCAGTCGTCTTGCCTGGCTTGGTATCCAGGTTCGCGAGTTCACTGGCGACATGCATCTCACAAAGAGCGAGATTGTAGCCACCCAAATTATTGTCACGACCCCAGAGAAGTGGGATGTCGTGACCAGAAAAGGCACAGGTGACACAGAGCTGGTTCAGAAGGTCCGCCTCTTAATTATCGATGAAGTCCACATGCTGCATGACGATCGTGGAGCGGTCCTGGAGTCTCTTGTTGCCCGAACTGAGCGACAAGTCGAGAGTACTCAATCTCTCATCCGTATCGTGGGTCTTTCTGCCACTCTGCCCAACTACGTTGATGTTGCCGACTTCTTGAAGGTCAATCGTCATGCTGGTCTATTCTACTTCGATGCTAGCTTCAGACCAGTTCCGCTTGAGCAACACTTCATCGGTGTCAGGGGCAAAGCAGGGACACGGACGTCGAGAGACAACATCGACACGACCACATTCGAAAAGGTCCAAGACATGTTGGAGCAAGACCATCAAATCATGGTCTTCGTTCACTCGAGAAAGGACACATCTAATACTGCCAAGATGCTGTACGAAAAAGCTATCGATCAGGCTTGCGCACATCTATTTGACCCACAGGGCCATCCTGGATACCCAGCAGCTGTGAAGGAAGCTGCTCGTTCCAGAGGACGTGAGATCCGGGAACTCCTTCCAAAGGGCATTGGTATTCACCACGCCGGAATGGCGAGATCCGATCGAAATCTCATGGAGAAGTTGTTCAGCAACGGTGTTCTGAAAGTTCTTTGCTGTACTGCGACACTAGCCTGGGGTGTAAACTTGCCAGCTGCAGCTGTCATTATCAAAGGTACCCAGGTTTACAGTGCTCAAGAAGGTAAGTTTATCGATCTTGGGATCTTGGATGTCCTTCAAATCTTCGGTCGTGCCGGTAGACCCCAATTTCAAGATACTGGAATCGGCATGATTTGTACTACCCAAGACAAGCTTGCCCATTATTTACAGGCCGTCACTTCGCAGGTGCCCATCGAGTCTCGATTCTCCAAGCATATGGTTGACAACCTGAATGCGGAGATTGCTTTAGGGACTGTTACTTCTGTCCCAGAGGCCGTTCAATGGCTAGGCTATTCCTACCTCTTCGTTCGAATGCAGCGCAACCCACTCACCTATGGCATTGACTGGGCTGAGAGTCGTGACGATCCTACCTTGGTGCAGCGCCGTCGGCTCCTTGTCATCCAGGCCGCTAGAACTCTCCAGCAGAGCCAAATGATTATCTTCAACGAGACGACAGAAGAACTGCGGAGCAAAGACGTCGGTCGTATTGCAAGTCAATACTACATCCTCCATACAAGTATTCAGATCTTTAACACGATGATGAAGCCTCAGTCGAGCGAGGCGGATGTCTTCAAGATGATTGCAATGAGTGGGGAGTTCGATAACATTCAATCTCGGGACAACGAGTCGAAAGAGCTTACCAAGCTGAAAGAAGAATCATCGCCTTGTAAGGTGGGCGAAAAGGACATCACGTCGCAGGCAAAGACAAACATTCTTTTGCAGTCCTACATTTCTCGAGCATCTATCGAGGATTTTGCACTCGGTAATGACTCGAACTACATCGCCCAACAATCCGCCAGAATTTGCAGAGCACTTTTCATGATTTCTCTGAATAGGCGCTGGGGACACCAGTGTCAGGTTCTGTTGTCCATGTGTATATCGATTGAGAAGAGAATTTGGGCCTTCCAACATCCCCTGCATCAGTTTGAATTGGCCAAGCCTATCCTGAACCAGCTCGACTCCAAGAACGGGGTCTCGATTGAGTCGATGAGAGACATGGATGCGGCGGAGATCGGTGCCATGGTGCATAACCACGGGGCCGGGAAGACAATTTCGAAAATCCTAGACAACTTTCCAACCATCAGCATTGAGTCGGAGATTGCTCCTCTCAATAGGGACGTCCTGCGGATACGCCTGTACCTGACACCTGATTTTCGATGGAACGATAAATATCACGGCACATCTGAAAGCTACTGGGTCTGGGTTGAGAACTCCGAGACATCTGAAATTTACCACCACGAGATGTTCATCCTGAGCCGAAAGAAGCTATACGATGACCACGAATTGAACTTCACGATTCCACTATCTGATCCGCTACCAACTCAGATATATGTCAGAGCGGTTTCTGACAGATGGCTCGGAGCGGATACTGTTCACCCAATCTCGTTCCAGCACTTAATCAGACCAGATACGGAAAGTGTCTATACAGACTTGCTCAACCTTCAGCCATTGCCAATATCTGCTCTCAAAAATCCCGCGCTCGAGAAGATTTATGGGCAAAGGTTTCAGTACTTTAATCCAATGCAGACCCAGATCTTCCATTGCCTCTACCACACCTCTGCGAATGTATTGCTGGGATCGCCGACTGGTTCCGGTAAGACGATTGCTTGTGAGCTGGCTATGTGGTGGGCATTCCGCGAGAAGCCAGGATCCAAAGTCGTCTACATTGCCCCCATGAAAGCTCTCGTGCGGGAGCGAGTCAAGGATTGGAGTGCACGGCTTACGAAGCAGATGGGTCTGAAGCTGGTGGAGTTGACTGGAGACAACACGCCCGACACCCGCACTATCCGAGATGCAGACATCATCATCACTACTCCTGAGAAATGGGACGGTATTTCCAGATCTTGGCAAACAAGAGGCTACGTGAGACAGGTCAGTTTGGTCATCATCGATGAGATCCATCTGCTGGGAGGGGATCGCGGTCCCATCCTAGAGATTATTGTCTCTCGTATGAACTATATTGCTGCGCAGTCAAAGGACTCAGTCAGACTCATGGGTATGTCGACCGCCTGTGCAAATGCATCCGACTTGGGGAACTGGCTAGGAGTCAAGGAGGGCTTGTTCAACTTTCGTCACAGCGTCCGCCCTGTACCTCTGGAAATTTTCATCGATGGCTTCCCTGAAGTCCGAGGCTTTTGCCCGCTGATGCAGTCCATGAATAGACCCACGTTTCTCGCTATTAAGACTCATAGTCCTGACAAGCCGGTCATTGTTTTCGTAGCTTCCCGAAGACAGACGCGCTTGACCGCAAAGGACCTGATCAACTACTGTGGCATGGAAGACAACCCTCGAAGATTCGTGAAGATGTCCGAAGATGAACTACAACAGAATCTTACACGCGTTAAGGACGATGCGTTGAAGGAGGCACTCAGCTTCGGAATTGGTTTGCATCATGCCGGTTTGACTGAATCGGATCGCTCCTTAGCAGAGGAGCTGTTCGCAAACAATAAAATACAGATCCTGGTAGCGACAGCCACCTTGGCATGGGGTGTCAACTTACCGGCTCACTTGGTGGTCGTCAAGGGTACTCAGTTCTTTGACGCGAAGACTGAGGGCTATAAGGACATGGACCTCACGGATGTGCTCCAAATGTTGGGCCGTGCCGGTCGTCCTCAATTCGACACTTCGGGTATCGCCCGTATCTTTACCCAGGATTCCAAGAAGGCTTTCTACAAGCACTTCCTGCATACCGGTTTCCCTGTCGAATCATCTCTACACAATGTACTGGACAACCATTTGGGAGCCGAAGTGTCCGCCGAAACTATCACCACCAAGCAGGATGCACTTGATTATCTCACATGGACATTCTTTTTCCGCCGTTTGCACAAGAACCCCTCTTACTATGGCCTGGAAATCGACGCCGAAGAGCACAACACAATCTCAGCGCAGCAATCAGCCAATGAGTACATGATCTCTATGGTCGACAATTCCCTAGGTGAGCTTGCCGAGTCAAAATGTCTAGAAATATACCCCAATGGCGACGTCGACTCTACTCCGATGGGCAAAATCATGAGTTACTACTACCTTTCGCACAAAACTATCCGCCACCTTGTCACACATGCCACCCGCAATGCAACATTCACCGACGTCCTCTCCTGGATGTCTAGCGCCACTGAATATGACGAACTCCCTGTCCGCCACAACGAAGACCTTATCAATGCAGAACTTGCTAAAAACTTGCCTCTCTCTATCACAGCCTTTGGTGATCTGCCCCTCTGGGACCCGCATGTCAAAGCTTTCCTGCTGCTCCAAGCGCATATGTCGCGTATTGATCTTCCGATTACGGATTACGTAGGTGACCAGACGAGCGTACTGGACCAGGCTATTCGTGTCATTCAGGCTAGCATTGATGTATTGACCGAATTGGGCTATTTATCGAGCTGTGTACAGATGATCACGCTACTGCAGTGTATCAAATGCGGTCGTTGGCCAACCGACTACCCTCTTTCTATTCTCCCAGGTGTGCCTGTCAGGCAGCCTAATGGGGAGGAACTCCCTGTGAGCTTGCAGGACTTTTCATTCCTTTCCGAAGTGGCTTATCAGAAAACATTGAAGGCTCTCGATCTCTCACCACGCAGCCTCTCTGAATTTCAAAAAGCAGCGCAGGCCATCCCCTGCCTGAAAATCGACGTTCAGAACCTCACCGCTTTATCTATGACGGTCGTTCTCTCGCGACAGAATCCGCTGGCTCAGGGTGGGAAGATGTACGCTCCGCGCTTCCCGAAATCTCAGACCGAAGGCTGGTTCGTTATCTTATGTAACGAGGGTAGAGATGAGATTGTCGCTATCAAGAGAGTTGGGTGGAACGCTCCTAGTGGAGCTGGCGGGAGGCAGACGGCGAGGAGTGTCATCAAGTTGCCGGAGGAAGAGAGCGGTTTGATCAGTGATGGGCGGAAGATGGATGTTTGGGTCATCAGTGATGGGTATCTCGGGATGAAGTACACGATCAAGGGTGTTGAGGTCCCCGATGCGCCGAAGGTCGTGGACGATGGGAAGAAAGATAAGCCAGGCTCGAAGGGTGCCGTGGCTGGAGAGTCGAGTGGGAATGTCGTGGTGTGAAGGCGTGAACCGGTAGATACGAAGATGAAGGCCAGGCTACGAGCTAGTATAATAGCTACAGATATAATCTATCTTGGATTTTACGCTCATTAATCTGTCCACTTCTTTATGCTCTTCTCTACGATAAGCTATATCTGTTCTTCTATTTATGGGCACCAGCCTTTTCGACACTGCTCCCCTCTCTAATCATCCATCTATCTTTACTAATGTTCTTTCCCTCCTTCTGGAAATATCCAAATCAGTGCACCGAATACGTCTACTTCCGATATTCACTATCACTTTATCTATTTCTATATTCGCTCAGCTCTCCACTTACCAACCGAACTTCATATTTTCCTAAGCTCAACTCAACTCTATATGCCTAGCGAGAACATTTTCCCGAGGCAAAAGTAAAAGTAGAAGCAAGAAAAAAAATCGATAGAACGAACTACTTATTTCGAAGTGTATATAAATGATGTTCGGATATTTATATTAGGCATAGATCTCGAGTGTGGATACGTGGCGGACTTATCGGTTTTGTAGATGGGAAATCATTAAGATTCAGCGGCGTAGGGGAGCGGGAGATGGCGTTGATGGATGGATGGATGGCATGGCGTTGGTGGGTGGGTGATGGCTGGTTATGGTTTGTGCGAGGTCGGAATGGATGGATGTAATGATACATGACTTGTAATGAACTAGCTTACTATTATTTATGTAGATAGGTCTCTTCATCAAATGATTTATTTGCCTGGAGTGTTATGCTTCTTCTGAGATGGATGGGTGGATTTGGACGGATTTGGTGATTACCATTTGAGGACCACGTATGCTATCTTTAAAATGACATTTTTCTTTCCTTCACCGAAATAATGAAGGTGAGTTCCGCTACGGAGGTTAGGGAAAAAAAGCATTGAATGTGACGGATTATAAGAATACCTAGCTATCTTACTGTCTATGTTAGTATGCGATAAAAGTAGAGAGCCAGCTCGACATTGCCAGTATATTCAGACATCAGGGATAGCCATCTTCAGACTCTCGCAGGCGCAAGATGCATCAATCCCAACCGCTATAAGTCTTCTTTCCGGAGACATTCATTTGGAAAAGGTAGAAATGTCGGGGCCGAGATCGGCTTACAGTCTTGTCTTAAGATCTTTATGGGAAGATTGTGACCCCATTGAAATGTGAATTGATACGGGTGGGTAGAATCGAGTTCAACCCTTAGTTTCAAAGCATCGTTATTCCCGTTTCTAATTCTGCATAAGATGCGAGGCGGTGAACGTGTTAGTCGTCTCCTAAATATCCTTTGATTCACTGATGGACAGATAAATGAGCAAAAAGTGAATATGTACTGATAATTAACTGATTGCAAAATCTAAAGCTCAAGTGTTTGAAAACTAGAGCCGATATCGCTGTCCTATAAAGCCTCGAGTCTTGGTGCTTCTAGGCGTACCACGCTCTCGCAAGAGCGACTTTATGGTTGGGGATTTATCGTGTACTTTCTAGAATTGATCAAAATGCTAGAGAGTCCGGATTTGAGGACAAACTTAGGTAACCGTGTGGGAACCTGAGACTGAGAGTAGGCAGCCGACAGCTTGCCTGATTAGCGCACGGTTAGATCGATTCGACACGATCGCAGCCGCGCTGCTCGATATTACATTGCATTCGAGAAACGGAATTCTAGCCTACGATACGATCGAGTCTACGAAGCTCTTAATCGTCGAATCTCTCCTTCGCGAATTGTGAAGAAGCTGGATACTTCCCGCTCAACTAGTCGTCTTGCCCACCATGAGGTAACCTTCCAAAGATGAAGAAGAGATGAGAGAAGGTGAGTAAGTAGAACCGATCTATTCGTTATCAAATATTGGAATTCTTATTTTTGCTAGCCATACGCTGGCTTGCTTGTCCGCTGAATAATCAAATTATAGAATCCAATATTGACATTTTTTTTCTTTCCACGGCTACGAAATTAGCGACATGTAAACAAAACAAACAAGACCGCCGCCGCCACCGCCGCCGCTACTGCTGGTGATGGTTATTTTGTTGACAGTAGTGGGAAGAAGTTGAGCAACGACAACAGATAACATTCTTTCTTACTCTTAATAGCAATATATATATATATATATATTTGATAGAAGTAAATGCCAGCAGCTGTTAGCCAGCCAACTAGAGCCCTAGTTTGTCATGTACATACATACATACATACATACATACATCTTCTCATCTTTCCTCATACCACGGTACAGGCGTAAGTATTACCCCTCGAGGGTGCCTCAAAAGTTTAGTTTCCACTTTAAACCCCCTGGTTACCCTACCCTCGAGGGGTAATACTTACGCCTAGGACGTAGTATGTGCAATTGCGTCGACGGATCTTTCTCAGCCAGGCCAGGGCCCGGTCGGTACGTTTTTCCTCTTTGAAATTCCTATGTTAAGTATCGACCAGATCCATTCAAAAGGCTAGCCGAGAATCAAGCCAAGAAGAAAAGGAAAGGAAGAAAGCGGAGGGAGGGAGAGAGAGCCAAGAGATATACAGCCGACGAAATTGCAGTAAGCACGCATACTTTGATCTACCCTCCCTCCCTACACAAGCAAGCAAGCAAGCAAGCAAGCAAGCAAATAAGTCCTTATACATTCTGGTCCGGAGTAGATTCCCATAAATAATAGAATCTCGATATTACTAAAATTTATCATCTTCGTTTTGTTCTTTTACTTGAAACGATATGTTCGATGGAAATATCACGAAATTACAAGGTGGAAGAAATATCACATTTCAAAACCTCTTGTTTTAGGTAAAGTGGCGAAAAGATTTCAAATACTTAGGAAATTGCAATATTTAAAATACTTTTTTTCATGGGTCCAAACCAAACGTGGCCTTCACCGAAACCCTCTTGGCCAAAACCAGGTATTTAAAATACCTCGCCTGGACCAAACGGGCCCTAAATGACTTGGTTATAAGCAACCAGCCAGACTCGTTCAATTCAAGTCGAGTCAGTCCAAGCTCCACCACGAACGAAGTAATGAGCAAAAAGATGCAAAGAAGGAAGAAGGTTAACAGCGCTTAGCGCAACAACAACAGCTTCAATATTTTTCTAGAATAATTGGTATCATAAAAGAATCTCTCCTCGCCAATCAGTGGAGGGAGAAGATGGAGAAGAAGAAGAGGAAGAAGATGAAGAAATGATGGAAGAAGATAAAAACAAGTAATCTCTCTCGCCGGCTCGCCCGCTCCTATCCCTAAATCGGAAAAAGAAAAGTGCCGATTTACCCCCATCGGCATACCATCTCTGATAAAAAAACCCCGAAAGTGCGCCCGCTGGTCCGTGGGAAATCGATGCGAGACCCCGCTCCATCCCTATGTACATACATACTGCCAGAGTATGTGCCGTCGTGACAATTGAACATAACCCCCATTTTCCGACCCCGACCTTGCCGTATACAAACAAAAGAGACCCTGTTCATGTAATGCAGTTCGATGCAAGATGCCCGAAGGCTATACGTTAGAAAAAAGTGGTCCAGCCAGTAGCGCTCACGCGCTCACGCGTTCAAAAACAGCACTCACGCTCTTCCGATGCGAGCTCAGATCCTTCGCCTTCCTCGCTGGAGAGGCATCCCTAGAAACCGCAAGCCCGACCTTGATCTCCCCAAACGACATGCTCTGCGTCGAAGCCGCTTCCTTCGCCTTGCTGCGCTCCGAGACCCCTGATGATGCTTTCTGTCTCTGCTTCATTCCTGCTGTGGCGCCTGCCCACGCTTTCTCTCTCTCGTCGAATCTGTCGCCTACCACGACAAGGGTTGGCGTGCTCGGTTTGGCAGTTGGCAGCATGAGGCGCTTGGTTGAGGGCGAAGCGTCGCGAGTGACACGCTTCTCGGGCACCGGAGAGACCCGCTCGTGTTCTTCTTTGGTGGCGATGGCAATGGCTGTTAGGGGGCTTGAGACCGTCCGTAAATTGATCGAGCTGCGTCTACGAGCTGGGCTTGGGAAATTCTGAGCTCCGACTACGCGCTCTTTCTTCTCTCCTTCCCTTACGCGATTGGCATTCTTACTTGATGTCCTCGTGTGTGCTTTGACGCCCGTTTTGATTGGGACGAGTAGTTGTCTCTGTCTCCGCGAGACGGAGATCTGGCGGGCGATAGAGATGTCGGCTGCGTCTTCGAGACGACTTTCGTCTCCAGACTTGGGTGAGGAGACTGGTGCTTGGAATGTGGATCTTGGAACTAGGAGAGGAGAACTTTGACGTCGTGGGATAGCGATGGGTGCGTTTTCAGTTGTGACGCTTCGGGTGCGTGTCAGAGCTGGCTTTTGCTTTTGCGAGGCTGAAGGGGGCCGCATGCGTGACATAGGTGGCGTATTGCCACGCAAGGGTTTGACGACTGGGTAAGGGGCTGTGGATGCGCTGAGCGGTGTAGTGATGCTTGAGGCTGTCGAGACATCTGACCCGGTTATTGAGGAGCTTGAGATGGAGTTGCTTGCTGTGTGGAAAGATTCGGTAATTGGCCACTGAGGCTCAGGGAGCTTCTTGGGCTGCATGGGAATAGCGACTGCGATAGGTGGAAATTGGTGTTTCTTTACATCATCTGCTTCTTCGCTAGCTGGATCAAGCGCATGGATCGGATTTTCGGGCGACCGGCTCTTTGACATCGAACTGGAACTTTTTGTTACTGCTTTGGGCCCTTCCTTCTTGAGACTGGACTTTCGAGGCGCATAAGTCGTTCCCGATTCTGAGAATTTAGGGACATGAATAGCCTCCGAAACAATACTTGCATGACCATCGTTACTAATATCTGCCGCAAACGAAGCTCGGGATGGAGAAAGTGCTGTAGGAGAAGTATGCGATCGTTGAAGTGTCCGTGATTGCGGAGGAGATGGATCTCTGGTACGAGGTGTGGGACTGGGGAAAAGTGAAAATCCTGGGCTTCTTTGGGGCCCAGGAGAAGTCGCTCGCCTGGGTTTGAGTAAGTTGGAGTTGGCCTCTGGTTCTCGTTCCTGCGGTCTAATGTTAGTACCAGCCAAGAAAAAATATCGATGAGCACGAGAGCCGCGAACCTCTGAAGCTAGTTTTTCGTCAACTGGCTTAAGCTTGTCAAGTGTTGCTGCCCGTCTGGTTAACAATGATGACTGCTGCGTCTGATGATGTTGAAGCTGAAGCACGTCTCCAAACATGATGCTGTATCTCTCCATCGAAACAGAAGGAATATCAATATCGAGCAATCCTGCGCCCTTCTGCGAAGACTTGGGAATATGGCTGGCCGCTAGACTCTCATTAAGGGTGATGTCCGAGGTTCCAGTATGAGCTCCTCTGCCCTCGCTCTCGAGGTCAAAGAGCACAGGTAGGGTATTAGTACGGCTCATGTGAGGCTTGTGCTTCGTTCTGCGTGCGTTTGAGACGGAGCGCCCAAGGATGCGAGATTTAGGTGGCTTCTCACTGGTGAGGGGGGGTTCGCTGAAGTTCAATCCATGACTGGATGTTGTGATAGTCACTGGCTGGACTTGGTAGAAAGCAGTCGGTTGTGCATCATGCTTCTTGCCTCCAAAGAAACCCCCTAACTTCTTCCAAGTGCTCTTCTTTTGCTTTGATGTCGGCGCGGGCTGGATGAAGTCTTCGTCGTTATGGTCAGGAGAGTCTGTGTATCTGTCCATTGGTGGTACATGTTGCCATGCAGTTGGTAGGGGATGTGGCGGGCTTCCCAGCGCCATACCGATCTCTCCATGTGGTACACTCATGATTGTTAGAGTCCGATCTACAGACTCTGGGGTCGACGGTCGGATAGATCGGAACGTCTGAGCCGATGGAGAACGTACCGACCGTGGTGAAAGGGCGGGTGACAGCGAGCCCGGCAGAGGAAAGTTGTACAAAGTCGCCTGGAACCCATGCGGGGAGAAAGGGTTATTGAAGTCTACGTCGTCCCGTGTCTGTAGGTCTTCCGCGTCTGGCCACTTCGCAAAGCTTGATGCAAGTCCTCCGGAGATACTGGGTCTCGCTGGAAGCTGGTCCTGTCGCTGGCCGAAGTCGAAGGACAGGGCAGTGTCCCTATCGATGGTTCTGGCCTGTATATCTTCTGATACACGGAGTGACGCACTGGGGTGTCTGGTCTCTCGAGGACTCAACTGGACCCACCCCAGTTGTGATAAGGCAGTTTGGGTGACCATAATGTTATTATAGGGTGTATACGGAAGATGCGGTTGTTTGAGACTGATTAGTAGCCAGGCACCCAATATGATTCACAACAAAAATGAGATCAAGTAGAGATGAAACAAGGAGGACGGCGTTTATGCCTTGGTATTAGAAGAGCTGACAGCACCTTTCCGTTTGAAGGAGCGGATGGATGGATACCGGTAGTTTGGCACCAGGAAGCCGACCCTTTGGTGTTCATAGCAGAGCTGCCGGATCACGAGAAATCTCAAGCTCGATAAAGAGATTCAAGGAAAAGTGAAGTGATGGATGGTTTGTGAGACCACTGGATTTAATCTGTACTGACGGAGACTGAGCCATGCCTGCCTGCACTTGACGCGCTTATTCGTATGTTTGAGGTTGATGAGATGGTACTTCTAATTGGACCGCAGGGAACAGGCCGATCGACGGCGGGGATTCGAGGGAAAGTGTGTGGAGAGCCCGTTGAAGTTCGACATGGATGATGGGCATGCGGTCGTAGCGGAGACCGGGGGAAAAAGGTTATTGAACTCATTCACATTACTACACATGAACTCTTGGTTGTAGCCGAGACGCAGACTCGTCGGCAGGCCGGGGGCGGTAGTACTCCGTACCACTAGGTAGTTACGTAGTATGCCGGCTTACGACCTCGACCATGGCGGCAGCGAGTCAACCAAGACCCGTCTGGCAAGACAACCAACTCAATCCACACTGGCTGTGCCTCGTCAGCAATTTTCCTTATCACCGACCAAGACTTGGTGCGGAGGTTCTGCGTGTGAATGGCTTTCATTGGCACTCATCCAGACCAATATTTTCCAGCAAATCTCTCGCCAGTTTCATGACAACGGAGACGGACCCCGGAGACGGGGGTATGAGAGATGATGGGATCTTCGAACAGAACCGGGAGACGATGGATGATGGATGATGGATGATGGATGATGGACGATGGATGATGGATCAAAGATCAAAAAAAGATCATGGACCAGGCCAGGCCAGGCCAAGGGCAGACCCGAGAAGCTCGAACCACACCCTTGGAAAGCTTGGCCTTGGCTGCTTTTACTCCGTAAACCTGATACAGAGTACGGGCACCAGATCTGCGACGTGACGTGGACCGGAAGTAAAGGAGATAAAGAGATGAAAATATGGGAAGATGGAAAGTCGAGAGAGAGAGGGTGAGTAACGTGACTCAACTTGGGTAACAACCGACATGACCCTGCCTTTGAAATGAGTGCTGAGTTGATATTCGCAACGGGATTATCGGGAAAACCATCCACTCTTCAAGCCGTCTAGACTTGACAAAATTCTTGTCGGTAGTGCTGTCTCTAGCCAACTCAGTGAGTATCCTCGGATCCGAAATGAGATCCGTCTGATGACCGAGGTAAGACTATTTTAACGGGAAACTCCTAGTGTTGTGAATTCGTCCCGATCGTCCTCGGACGCGGAAGCAATGGATGGATGGAGCCCGGAAGGCAGCGAGACTGTGACAGCGGGCGCTTTTATTAGCCACGTTTCAGTTTTTTCCAGAAAAAAGAGACCTCATGCGTGGCAGGTTAAACGTCGGATCTGTCTGCCGAGAAGAAAAAGTTGCTGCTCCTGTATCCTAAACCCTGGGATATACGTAAAAACGTCTGTCGGGGCCTTTGTGCATAGTGCTCACACCCAAGGCATCAACGATGACTTGCGTAGACTTCCGGGAGCGGGATGATAACGACGGATGGAACGTACTCCGTACATCCTGTGCTGCCATCTGGTTCAAGATGTGTGCTCCTGGATATATGTATCTCCTGTCTCTCTTTTCGGCCTCTTGATCTCCTTGTCCCTCCTTC